TACAGCTATTTCAACTGTTGACATTCTATTGAAAAGTATTTCGGAAATTGTAACGCTGAAATGTATCTGCTCTCTCGCATTTCGTATTTTGCATCTCGCAGATCTTACATATTTGCAAATGTAGCGACAGCGTCATCGACAACAACAAAACAAATACCTTTCGTCTTGAATCATTCAGTTCGGTTGGTGTGACTTGTATCTTGTCAGTGACTGAGATACTTTAGTTCCTTTTCAACTTTGACGACATCTTGGCAATCCTCTTGGACGGGCTAATGTTTTTCAGTGACTCATCCATAGGGCCCAGAATAGATAGTTCGGCTTTTTGTTTTTCCCCTGAGGGATAATATTCTAAAATATATTAGAAATATAAAAGGGAATTAGTCAGACGTTCTTAAATTATTATTCAAATGAAACACAATCTTTGAAGGTTTCCATAAATGGGTTTTTTACTAGATGACTAATATAAATTAAATTCATTAATAGCCTCATAAAACCTAACTTGGTTATCAAAATATATATTATGTTTCCAAGAACTTCCAATTCAATAGAAATAATATTTTAATATGCACCCTATTTTTTCCCCTAAAATAGTACACTTTTTTTACAACCGTCCTGTTTCTATGCAAAATATGGAAATCGATCGTAAAAAATCGTAATTTTTCCTTGCCTTTGGGGTGAGCTTTGGACTTACTTGTTAGCTTGTTTTGGTTTCTGCTCCACTTACGAAAAACATAAGCCCGGCCCCATAAATATGCGACCTTTGGCGACCTTTGCTTGGCAACAGCCGCAGTAAAATGCGAAAACAAACAACCGCCATAACATCCAAATGGGAAGGAGTGCTTGAGGAGCTGTTTTTTTTTTATTTTTTTTATATTTTGCATTTTTATTTTTTGATTTTTTTATTTTTTGCTGGCAAAGCAACTCAGTGCTGTTGGACTATCAATAAATTTCTTACATGGCATGGTAGGGTTGGGGTGCTCCGTGCATATGTTACATATGCAACATTTAATTTGAATTTGTCTCTCCGTCGTCGTCAGTCCGCAACGGAAGTTGTGGCAAAAGTTCACTCAAATGCATATGAGACGTGGTAAAAAAAAACCGAAAAAAAAAGAACTTATACACCGACAAAAAAAAAGCCTTTGATATGCAACAAACATGAATTGGCACAATTCACAGCTAATCCAATCAGCTGTGGCCGCGGAGAGCAATGTCCTGTCCAGTCTCTTCCGGTTCTCTAGGCCGGGCCAAAAGCACCAAGCAGCAAACACCTGCAAGTGGCTTGGGCCGGGTCCAGTCTCCATTTTGATCCCCCTGCCTCCTTTGCCACAATCAAATACCATCCCCTCCTTCCCTTCGATACCAATCTGGATGCCGTCTAGTCTTGGCCGGTTCCCCGGTGGCTGTTTCATTTGATTGTGAGCCCGTCAGGAGTGTATTAATTTCTGTATGTGCACAGAAACAGTATGTCTTCGATAGCAAGGATCATGATAAATAATAATATAAAGGATTAAGATTAATATACTAAGGTTATACCTTATTTAAACCAAAACCTATAGGTTTCAGGACCAAAATGTCTAAAGCCCGTATGATTATTTCATAAAATCACATGTCTCTTTATTCAAATTATTTGAGATATTTCCCTTAAAAACCTCAAGCCTTCAAGTCCCCTTAGTATCCCCTATAAATCAGATTCCCTGTACTGATGTTTGTGCAACAAGTTGTTGTTGCCACATCTCTTTTTTTCCTTTTCTTTTAATATGCAGATTGTGTCGCGCTGACTTTAATACTTTGCAACGTCGTCGATCATTTCGTTTCGATGCCAGCCAGTGTGAGTGCGAGTGAAAAATGCAAAAAAAATAAAGAAATATATACACATATATACCTACAAATAAAAAGGAGAAACAGGCATGTTGAACAAGCCTTGTCGCTCGTCTTGTAAAACCTGCAACACATGCAACATGCAACTTGCAACTCGTCCGGTGACAACGACGGGTGGTGGGGTCTTGGGGCTGGGATGGAGCGGTGGAGCAATGGAACGGGGTTTCCTTCCACACCGATGAGCGCACAAATTTCCGCGGCCACAATTTTAATTAAAATTTTCAAAAAATCTTGAAGACAGGCAGAACCGAAAATTTAATGCACTTTTTGTGGGTAGTTTTTTTTGAATCTGTAAAGAAGGTTAAAGGTTTATAGAGTTTTTTTTAAATTTGTTTAAGAGAATTATACAATCTTTTAAATATATTTTTTCACGAAATTTGTTTTGTCTTTGTTGGTCTATTTAATATATTCATTTTATTTTTAAGGCATTGTCTCTAGAATTTTGAAGAATAGTTTTAAAAATAAACTGCAACTTTGTAATAGACTTAATGCCTGGCAATAGACAAAAATAAATATTACAAAAATAACAAAGCAATACAGAAGTGATACAAAAACGATATCCTTTAATATTACCTTAAAAAAATAAAATAAATTTAAGCTTAAGAAAATTTAATAATCAAATCACTAAAAGAAACTTATCAAGTTGCCTGCCTCTATCTGGTGTTTTATTATTTAATTGACATAATACTTGTAGTAAAATAATTATTTAGATATATATTATAAGGAAAAATATCTCTTTATTTTTTATATTATTTATTAAGAATAAGGTTATGATCCCGAAAAGATATTCCCACCACTGGGCAACCCATTGCTTATTAATTCGCTTGTATTTGTACTTTTTTTGTGGACGTGGAGTTTGAGTTACGCTTTACAGGATTTTACAGATTGCCAACATTAATTTTCATACATTGCCGGGCACGTAAGTGTTGGGGGTCTATTTGGGCCAGCCAGCGCATGCGCTGCCCACCGACGGCCTCTCCCTCCCCAATAAATAATCCCCCTGCCCGTTGATATCTGTTGTGCCCCTTTATCTGCGGCTGCTGTTGTTGTTTTTCTCTCCTTTTTTTTTTGGTATGCTGGGAATATATGCGGGGCGTGGCCAAAAAAGGAGGAACATGTGCAGTTATGTGAGTACATATCTTTTTCTTGATTACCCTCCGATATCACTCCAATTTGCGGTGGGTTCAAATGTAGAGCTACCGATTCCCAAATGGAAGAAAATGTCGACCCCATTTTACATAATTGAAGCGGTAGCAAGAAATCCAAAAAGACACAAAATCGGGGGAATATAATAAAAAAAAAAAAAGTAAAAACATAACAACCCAAAGAACCCAAATGAGAAAATCGTTTAAAAATGCAAATGGCCCGCACATCGTCAGGCGGCGATGGCGACGACGACGTCGATGTATTCAAATCAGTCCATGGGTCGCCTTGGTTTTGTGGTTGTCGTTTCCTGGCGCTGCATTTGTCAAACGCTGCGGAATTAATGAACCGCAACAGTACCGCCGATTTGTATCTAATGGATACCAAATAACCTAACAGCTAAACAACAGCTGAGTGGCGGGGGAAAAAAATGTGGACTCACAATCAGAAATGGTTCACCACAAAATATTTTTCTTTTTTTTTTAGCATTAGTAATATAGTTTGTAAAAAACGTGTGAATGGGTTTTAGAATAAAATATTTTTTTTATTATTCTTCATTTTTCTAAACCCTCTTAAACCCCTTTTTATTTCAAGTATATCCCAGGGCTTGTCCTCGACGCGTTCCCAGGTGTTTGGGGCCAAGACCTTATGCTCTCTTTGGAAACAAGCTCATAAATTTCGTTTATTTTCCTGACTTTTTTCCACCCATTTGTTTAGTTCGTTAGTTGTCAATTGGTTTTGGCAAAAATTTGACAACCTACGTCCCCTGTAACCAATAATTTTTCGGACCACCACTCTGGTATTGGTTATGGGTATCGATTCACTTCTCAAACGCGTAGGCATGCCAAGAATTTATGCATTTTTCCAATTTAAAAATTTATATTCTGTAGACGACAAGAGAGAACTGGAAAATGGGCTAGGTTAGCATTTGAAGGCAGGCAAATATTGTGACGTGATTGCGATAATCGTATGAGATATAAACTTTCCATTCCGGGAGCGTTAGGCGTTAGGAACTCCAGGGAGATGACCACGTGGCGTATGTCAATCATCCGCAGCACGTTGATATTGATATAGGGCACCCCTAGCTATACATATCTGGATGTCTCTATCTCTGGCTCTATTAGATAACCCAATGCCTCTTCGTTAAGTCGGTTAAAGCCTTATTTATCAGCCAAACACTGGCACACACACACACACACACACACTGCAATCAATTTTGAAAACTGTCACTTTGACACTTGAATTCTGTTCTGTTTCTGTTTCTGTAGACATGGCTCCCTGTACACCTCCATTCTTGGTTGCCTTGCCAAATGCCGTAGACAACACGTCTGTAGCCTATTTGTCAGGCACTGAAAGAAATGGGTATAAAATTGGCAGGCAAACGGACAGACGGACATAGACTGGTCCAAGATTATTGTCTTATCCGGCCGTACCTTGATCCAATACCTTGATCCTATGAACTTTAAAATTTATTCTCAGTGCATGCATATGTTACCAAGTGAGTGGGTACACATCGAGTATTATGTATTTATCATAAATGCCATTTTATCGTTCTTCAGGCTCCCAATCGTCTTCCTCTTGCGTTCTTCTTGCTCGCACTTGATGGCAAATATTTGTTCATTTGTTTGTTTGTTTGTTTTGTTTGCTGGTTGCTTGGAATGGTGGTACGACAACAACATCTGGGAGGTGCGGGATATGGAGTAGGTACTACACGGGAGTGGGAGTTGGATAGTACACCCAAGTACCCGGGTATTTGTGTACACTTTGTAGGTGGCTCTTATTTCTGTTGTACTATAGTTCTTTTTCACTTTGGAGGTGTCGCTGGTGTCAGTCGGTGTTGCTGAAACAAAAGCTAAACTTTGGTAGCCGACAGGCCCTGTCACATTATTCCAAAACTTGTCACAAAAAACAATGAAAAAGAAGTATTTAAAATATATCGTGAAAAATATCACACCAATGGCTGGGAGTAGCACCTTCGGTGACACCTTTTGACACTTGTCCAAAGTGCATCCAACTGCCAAACAGACAGGAAATGTGTGGGCCTACAGCAATGAAATTCTGGGTAAATATTTGTCCATGGCTTCAAAGTATTTCCGTATGTCTTAATGCCCAATAGTGCTATCAGTTTTTGTTTTTCGGGGGAAATAATAAATGTTTTTTAAAGGATATGAAGTAGTGACACATGAATGGCTGTCAAGTGGCCGAAAACATATCTCTGATGGCCATAAAGCCTATAAATAAACAGGCCTTTTAAGAAAACCCCCCTTAAATTATGAGTAACCCGAATTTCTTATCAATAATATACTTTTATTAGATAGTGTTTATTTGCGTAAAGTAAATTGGCTTCTTGCCTTTGCTGTTTTGCCAATTCGGAAAGGAATATCACACAGAGATTAGATTAGAAAAAGAACCTCAAACCTACTATATAAACGAAACCCTTTCCTCTTGGCTTTTTAGTTTTAATTAAGCCAACAAAATGAAAGCCACTTTGTGTGTATTATCAGTGTTTTCGCTGTGCCTCGTGTTTGTGGCCAATGCGGTGGTTCAGGATGGGGACTTCGTCGAACCCGCCACCTTCAAGAGTTACTACTCATCCTGCAAGGCTCTGAACCCCAAAAAGAGTGGCGTCCAAACGATCAAAATCGGCAAAGACAAGGTGGACGTCTACTGTGACTCCACGATTGCCGGAAAGGGTTGGCAGGTCATCCAGCGACGGGTCAGTTCCGAGGAGAACTTCTTCCGTAATTGGACCTCCTACCAGTCGGGTTTCGGTGACCTCAAGGGCAACTATTTCCTGGGCCTAAGCTTGCTGAACAGGATTACCACCCAGGAGCCCCAGGAACTTTACATTCAACTGGTGGACTTCAATAACACCGCCCAATACGCACACTACAGTCTGTTCACTGTGGCCGATGTGTACAGTAACTACACACTAATCCAGCTAGGATCCTACAATGGAACCGCCGGGGAAAGTCTCAGTTATCATTTGGGAATGCCTTTCAGTACATTTGACAAGGATAACGATCGTAGTTACTTTAATTGTGCCGCCAAGTACTTTGGGGCCTGGTGGTACAACGACTGCATGGCCAGGTAATTATTCTGGACTCTGAAACTGTGGAAATTTTTATTTATTTTGTATTTCATTTAATAGTAATCTGAATGGCGTCTATTTGGGTGGCGATTTCTTGGACCCCGAACTCTATGGAAAGGGCATAACCTGGGCCATGGGCAAGGGCTTCTCGTATAGCTACAAAACTGTGACCATGATGGTGCGATCCAAACTCTGATCTGTAGGAAAATTATTTTAAAAAATAAACTAATTTATTGAATAAATCTTCAAAAAGGCTTTCATATCAGTACATACTACTGAGTACTTCAACAGGTGGTCACTATACCGAAGATCAGATTAAAATATTATTCAGAATAGCTTCCTCCATATGAGTAAGACCCTTATCGTCTTGAGGTTGTGATTTAATCGAGATAAGATTTATTTTTATGGTCCATGCTTTTTTAGCTTTTTCCGAATTTGCTGAAATATGATAAGGTCTTGGCCATTTAATATAAAAAGCCTGCTCCTGGCCAATCGTTTTCAGTTAGTATCAGTTCGGGCCAATAAAAATGAATAGCACCTGGTTACCACTTCTTGCGTTGGTATTGCTCCACGTTTATGTCGCCAATGGCGATATTGTGGAGCCCGAAACCTACAAGAACTACTACTCATCCTGCAAGGCTCTGAACCCCAAAAAGAGTGGCATCCAGAAGATCCAAGTGGGTCAGGACATTTTGGAGGTGTATTGTGAATCAAAAATCGCCGGAAGGGGTTGGGTAGTCATCCAGCGGAGAGTCAGTGCCGAGGAGAACTTCTTCAGGAACTGGACTTCCTACGAAAATGGCTTTGGCAACCTGAAGGGAAACTTTTTCCTGGGCCTGAAGAAAATCAAACACATCACCACCCCGGAACCTCAAGAGCTCTACATCCACTTGGAGGATTTCCAGGGAAAGTCTGCCTATGCGTACTACGATCGTTTTACCTTGGGGGACGTGTACAGTAACTACTCGATCATCCAACTGGGCGCCTACACTGGAACCGCTGGCGACAGTCTGAGCTATCACCTGTACCAGCCCTTCAGTACCTTCGACAGGGATAATGATTTCTGGCCCGAGGGAAACTGTGCTGTGACGTACATGGGTGCCTGGTGGTATAGAGACTGTCTGGGAAGGTAACAGAACTCGTAATACTCAATAGCTTCTAATCAACACATCACTATCTTTTTAGCAATCTTAATGGTGCCTATCTGGGCGGGAACTATACGGACTCCGAACTTTTTGCCAAGGGCGTTACTTGGGGATCTTGGCATGGTTTTTCGTACAGTTATAAGACTGTTACCATAATGCTGCGATCGCAGTGGTAATCCAACAGCAATAGAAAATAAATTATACATATTTCGAGAGCAATTGCGATAAACTTTCTCAACTTTTTCCATAATGGGTTTACATATTTTTATGGCTCGAATGTATGAAATCATATATCGCTGATAAGAACATTTTTTCTCGCATTTATTTCCATATTCAAGTTCAAGTTCTGTTTCTGTTTGTTTATGAGAAACACTCGCCTTGCCAGTTCCTGCCCCTGAAAGTCTGTAGGGGAGTATTGTATATCCGCTTGGGTATCCAATGGTGGCCAGACCCCGGGCCCGGTACCCGAGACCCGACGTAGCCCCCAAATTCTTTTGTTATTCATTATCGGACCTCTGGTCGGGTGCACTGATATGAAATGATGATGATGATGACTCAATTGACGGACAATGGACAACTTTCAAGTGAAGGAATTAAAGGCGAAACACTATATCAAATTCTCCCCATTCATGCCGAGACCCCAAGGAATCAGCTGATCTCGGCAGTTTCTCCAGAGAGTATGACAAATGTATCGGATATCGCTGGTCATTGTGGGCCCTGAAATATATATAGCAATTATACTATACATGTATAATATTCACAATGTTCAATGTATGAGAAGGTTTGGCGGTGGGAACCATTATAATTTTCATTTCGTTTAACATTTATTTCGCTGCGGAAGTATCGATGCGTTATTGGAGCCTCCAGGTTTGTGTTTCCTCCAGGAATTTTCATTGGAATTACATACGGTTTTATGTAATACCGAATACAGAACGTAATTCGCAAGAAAGTCTGCCAACTGCAACTGGGCATTCCGTTAAAAAGTATAAAAAAATTAACACCAAGCCCCCATAATCCCCATGACTGGGCTGTTTTTTTTTTGACATTTGCATTTGCCACACAAGCGTGGAATTATACTTACAACTGTATACCCACCTGGGGATTATTCTCTGGCCGGTGAATCTTTAGTAAAAAATTCTCATTAACTTGATAAAATTATGATAGATGAAATACACTGTTGACGGGCATTAAATGCATTTTCATGCAAAACCAGTTATCTGCCAGCTTTGGCTAAAATCATCAAACAAATTAAAAAATAGAAAGCCTGCGGAACTGTCTCTCCTAATCAAGCTTCCTAGTCAATAACCCTATCTAGTATCGGTGCGATTGAAGGTCATCATCCCCAGCATCCGCAAAACACGCATTTCAAAATTTGCAATTGAAATTCCTGACATCGAGCAAATCGAACAGCTATGAAATGCTTTTATAATGAGTTAATAAGCCATCTGAGAGAGCACCTGTTGCCATCGAACGAGTGCAACCTGGCGAGTAATTAAGAGATTTGTCGACCCGGCCCAGATGCACTCTGCTTGATTTTCAGCTGGTTGTTTTCATGTTTGTTTTCCTATTTTTTTTTTTTTTTTCAATTTTAATTGCTAATCAAAGCGATTTGTAATTCTGCGTTGTCTTAGTAATTTATTAACCATTACACGGTGCCGCGATTTCAGCTACGCTTTGCGAATACTTATAAGTTGCAATGTTGCACATGAAAAAAATATAAAAGTTGATTGCTAGATTATGATAGGAATTATAAAAGCTTGGGGTGAGTATTTTTTCAGTGTATTTATCTGTCTTTACTCTGCCAACTTGACGTGGCGCCAAAAGCCTTTTCTCCTACGTTTTATTACAATTGATTGATTGCATCTACTAAGTGCTATTTATTTCTATATAATTATAAAAGATCAACATGTCTGTTAAAAATTTAAGACTCTGCTAATAGATAACTTGACATGATTTTTAAAAAATTAAACAACAAGCATAACACAGACAGCTAGAATTTGTTTGCTGTCGAAAATATTACACTTTGCATTTGTAAGTTTTTTTCGCATTAAAAAAGAAAAAAAATCAAAAACTATCCGAAAATATAATCAAAATGAAAATAAATCTGGTCGGCATCGCAACAGAAGCATTTAGGAACATGGCATGCTCGTATCTACATATATTCAGGCTGAGATACATAGATACAGATACAAATGCAGTCGGCCAGTCAGTCATGTTGGCAGATACTTTTTAGCCACTTTGACTAAAGCAATAACATTAATGCCCGGCTGGCACAACTATTTCTGGCCAGGCCCAAAACGCAACTCAAAAAGTACAAATTGAAAATGATTTTTTGTTGTTTTTCGTTTTTTTTTTTTTTTTGTTTAAGTTTTTAGTTTTTGTTTTGGAAAATAAAAAAGGGGGAAAAACTAAAAGTGCAGAGCATAAAATTTTGAACTTGGCACCAGAGACGAACAACAGAGAGCGAGACAAAGTCCAAATGGATGAGATTTTTAATTTTTTGTTTTTTTTTTGGTAGATAGATGGATGGCTGGGATGGATGGGTATTGGACACAGATGCAGCTGCAAGTGTGCCGAGTGTACGAGTATCTAAGTATCTGCATGTCTGTAGTAAGTGTGGTACGGTCAATGCACAGCGACGTAGACGGCCAGACAAATATTTATTTGCTTTTTGTTGGCTTTGTCATCTGCCAGGGGGCCGGGGCGGCGCGCCTGTCAGGGGGAGAAGGTGGCAGTGGGTGGTGTGGGAGGCGTAGGGGTACAGAGGCGTGTATAGGCCTGACCACGTCACCCAGCCGGGCGTCGTCATCATCGTCATCCATATGGCAAACTATTTATAAATATGTTTTAATTATTTGCTGGCATATTCCTTAAAGCGTTGACTAGTCGGCGTCTCCGTCGCCGTCTGCTGGCTGGCACGCCCTCTTCCCTCCGGCCTCTCCCCAACTCCCCCGTCATCCTGGTGCTCATTCCTGTCCCTCCCACCCAAGCCAAACGCAGGGGGTGTACTGTGCAACACATGCAACTACTTTTAAAGTTTTTTGCTTTTTGGATTTTTGGTTATTTTTTTTAATAGCACTCTTTCTAAAGGTTATTTTCCTTTAATCTTTATATTTTTCAACCAAGTCTAAAATATATTCTAACTAAGAAACTAGACCTAACCAAAGTCCTGTTGTTTAAGATTCCAAGATCCTAAACTTTTAAGATTCTATTGTGATACCCCTCCGATTATAGCTGTCTTAGATTCTCATAACTCTAATATTTTAATCATAGGTTTTAGTAGTATTTTTTTAAGCAAAGTCCCCTATAGAGCATTTTCTTATTCGTTTATTATTCACTATTTTTTTAGCGACTCTATGCAGAGTACATTAAGTGTGAAGTTTTTCGCCAATAGAAATATTATTGTCGCGTCGCGCATAATGTGTCGCAGCTTGCATGTAATTTTCTAGATTTTGCACCCGTTGGGGCTAAAATACTCATACACTGGCCAACAAAACACTTGGCTAAATACGTGTAAGTACACAAAACCCATTACGGATCAGATTACTTCTTGCTGTTCAGTGTAGACATGTTGTATACCGACTCTAATAATGTAAAATGGCTGGCGCTGGCAAAGTGCATTTCATTTAATTTACGCTTTTCTTTTATAAATTTTTTTGTTTGTATTTTTTTTTTTATATTTTTATTCGTGTTCTTATAAAGTATGCCGCACCCAGAGATCCCCTCGATCCGTTTGGCTATAGCCATCGAACTGTAGAGCAAGTCAAACATGGAACAATCGGTCAGCGACAATGAAAATACCAAGTATGTACGTTGGCCTACACTGAAAGAACTAGAACTTTAATAAATTTGATGAATAATTTAAATAAAAATGTAGGGGAGAGAGAAACTTTTGTTTTCGGTGCAGAAGACTAGCTTTTTGTCGCCGTTGCGGCTTTCGTAAAATATATTTTCTATTTATTTAACTGGCAGACTTGAGTCGGCCAACAAACCGCATGCATGCTCGCTTTACAGGCTTCCTCTTACCACTAAAAAGCTAAGAAGAAGCAGTAGAAGAAGGAAGGGGCCAGACCAGACCAGACCCGACCAGGCCAGACGAGACGAGACGCCAATGAAGCGAGAAAAATTACTGTTTGTAAAGTGAGTTTGTCAACATGAGGCGTGTGTGCATCGCAGAACCAGACAAAAGCCAGATACAGATACAAACAAGTATCATTAACGCAATACCGAAACCGTTAGAGAGGCATTCGAGTTGTAGTTGGTGTAGTTGGCATCTTTACCTGGAAGCCGACTCCAAAAAGTCCATAACTCAAAGTATTTTTCTGCAGAAGTTATCGTTTGGTTCGCCCAGAAGGCGGGGATCCATAGGCGAAGGGGGCTATTCTCGAGGTCCCGGGCACATGGTCAACGTAATTGAATACCAGCCATACTCATTTTTACTTCTCTACACTGTCATACACCCTCATGGGGACTATTCAAGTTTTATTATTTATTAGCCAAGTTTAATTAGAGTGATTATATAATGGAGCTATCATAATAGACTTCTGAAAAAGCCTATCATAATAGAGATTAAAGCTATCCTAGGTATCCCCAATTCGAACTTGGTGTTCCTGGTTCTTTTTTTGGCTTTTTGCTTAGAGACTCTAAAGGCACATTTATGGTCTGTTGTCCTGGCCAAAAACGGCACTGGAATCCATCATAGACCGCGGCCCAAGACAGACCCAAGCCAAGGCTACTGGACAAGGTCTGCAACGTTGTCAGCAATTACTCATTTATGGCTTGCCGGCATTTTTCCGACTCTCGACTTCTGTGCGAAGTGGTATCTGTGTTCTGCACTGAAAAAAATAAATAGAAACAAGCCAAACATTCTAAGAAGTTTAAGTAAGAAGTATTTCCCCAGTGCATCCTTTTGATTTATGCATTCAACTTGCTCTTTTTATTGGATGGCCGAGGATCTTTTGCGGTTATTGGCTTTTGCCTGCCGCTTCTATTTATAAAGATTACGTGTAATTAAAATCGGTGCCCCAGCATCTACTGGGGACCACCTCGTTACGCTTGTCATTTGGCCGTTACTTGCCACAAAGCCAAGGAACAACTCTTTAGCTTGCAACAAGTAGACTGGGTGGCATAACCGGCAGCAGCAGCAGCAGCACTATGACATTATTTAATTGGAACGTTTTCTGATAGGAATATTGATTGCTTTATAATTTTGTGAAAATTTTTCAAATGTGGAACTGTTCGTTCCGGCTCATTGAAGAACCAGACAGCTCTCGAGTTTCGGGCTAATCAGGAGCATTATACAGTCCATTATCTCGACGGAGTCGATAGGGGAACGGCAGGGGTCGTGGGTTCAGAATGGAGGGATGGGGAATCTGAACTTTGACACACTCGCATCCTTCGCTCACAGCAACAGAGTTCTCCGGGGCCGATAAGAAAATTGAATTTTGAATACGCGTAATCACATTTCGAAATTCTATTTTAATAGGGCATTAAAAATAAACACTTGTGCCCCATTTCGGCAGAGGATTATCATCGGGCCCCTGATTGCTGACTGCGGAGTGTTCCACATGACCTCTGTCAGTAGTGTTATCAGTATCCCCCGAAAAACTCCCGATGCAAGTATGTAAGTGTTATTTTTAATCCAACGAAATAAAAAGCCTGGCAGCTGCCAGGGCCAGAGACGGAATCTTTATGTGCCATTTGACATAGTTCGACAGGCACTGGCCTCACTTATGCAATCGGATCGAATGTCCAACGCTATCAGCCAACGCTTCCACAAACAGTGGAGCCTCTAATCTCTGGACACCCTTCTCACCGTATCCCACCTCCCGGCTCCTGCTGGAAACGGGCATGTTTTCAGCTCATGAATCCCATCGAGAAACGAGATGAAGTCTATTCTTGAACCCCGCTGAACTTTGGGCTAGAAAATGCTATTGATACATGACTATAAATCCAAATAATACCCATGTTTTAGAGTCGAAACTACTAACTCATAAAGAGACTATGATTTGTGCCTAATCTAGAACCCTTACATTTTTATGGGTCTATGACAGAATATAGATTACCCAAGAAATTTAATAGAATTTAGTATAATCACTAGATTGTAAAACTATTTTTTATTTAACGCTGTGACATTTAGTTGGGAAGACACAAAAGAATCAACCGCCTCGAATGCCTTCCTTTCCCTCTTAAATGGCGCTCCCAAAACTATTTTTGCCCTCCATCTGTCCGTCTGTCCGCGTGTCCGCCTGTCCGTGTGTCCGTATTCGTTTGTGTCCACCTCTGTCTAGCCGTCAGTTTGTTTTGCGCCTTGGGTTTTAGCATTTACTTCTGGCATAGCTGGCATTTTTGTAGCAATTCGTATCTATATGGTTTGTTTCTCCCTTTTTTCACATTCTATATAGTCTATATAGTCTATATACCATTCTATTTGATGCTCTCTTTGTTTTGGGTCCGGGATCTCTAAATGCCGCGTGCTCATCACGCGCAGACACTTTAGAATGCATCTAGTATCTGTGAGATGTGCTCACACATCAGAATAATAGATTAAGAAAATGAAAAAATATATAGACTAATGGTGATTATTTTAATTAGTATGTTTTTGGATTCAGAATCTATTTTTTTTTTTTATGCTCTGGCTTAGACTTCTACCTATTTAATCTCTGACTTCCCTCTGAGCTTCCTCCGGCCTAAACCTTTGGTGATTCTTTAAGGATCGAACATTTCTTTACCATATAATGGCATTCAAGTCCTCCCTTCTTTGCTCTATACTTCAACCCCAAATGGAATGGAATTCGAAACGAGTACGATCATCGTTCCCCAACATTCCTCATGCGCATGCGAGGATTGCTTGCTGTCTACCTGATGTTCCTCAGCCTGCTGTTTCACTGTACCACTAGTCACGTCCTGACCAAGGCAAGTCCCCATTAAAAGCCCACAAACTTTCCCTAACACCCACAGAAACCCACAGAGACACTCTCACCTCCACAAACGAATGGCCAATTCACGTGAGATCTACAACGATTTTGGTGCTCTAATCAATGGCATGCCCGGATTAATGGCAGCCGGACCCGGAGGGGTTCAAGGGCCACAGGAAGGTGGTGGAGGCGAAGAAAAGACAAAATGTGTGAATCAGAATCAGAAGTGTAACGTGAATGAAATCATCCAGCCGGGCGATCCCAAGACCAAGTCCTCGGCTATAGCCATGAAGGCCGCGGCAGATGCCAAGGCGGCCAGTGAGGCACAGTCGGCAGCTGGACAGGCGGCTGCCCAGCACATCAAGCTGGAGCTGGCCGAGAAGGCCTTCCAGTCGGCCAAGGCCGCCGAAGCAGCGCTGATGGGCAAGCAGATGATGGTCGATCAGCTGGAGCAGGAGGTCCAGGAAGCCAATGCCGTCGTCGAGGAGGAGACCAACGGCCTCCATGCCACGGAGAACAATATGAACGCAGCTGTGGAGGCGGCTCGGGCGGCCACCATGCAGTTCGAGACCATCAGTGAGCTACAGAAGACCTCACGGGATAATCTGGCCAACATCCAGTCGGTGGCAGTGGGCGCCCAAAACGAAATGGCGGTGAAGACCCAGCTCCTGGAGGCCGCCCGCAACCGGATGAACATCCTCCATAAGCAGCTGCTGGCTGCCCAGGAGGATTACGAGAAGACCAAGGCGGCGGCCTACAAGGCAGCCTGTGCCGCCGTGGAGGCCAAGCAGAAGGCGTCCTCCAGCGCCTTTGTTGCCGCCGGGTCTCCCTTCGACAAGGGAATCCAACGGCTGAGCAGGAGGATCAGATCCTTGAAAACCCCAGCCGTTTCCCCTGTTCATCGGTTTCAAAACAAGCTTATATTTTGTAAATGTTGATTTTTTAAGACGATGTTGATTTGATGATACCGATTTTCGTTTATGGATATATTTGAACCTTGTAATACAGTTGTTTACTTTATTTAATCCAATAGTTATCATAGGTGCTTCCACACCTTTAGCTTATCGGCCCTTTAAGCGGAACCAGTACCCTTGTATATATCGATTTAAAAAGATTATTCCGAATAACCTGGTCGAGACCCAGCTTTTTTAGATCAAGTAACACCCCATGTTCCCTATAAAAAGCCAAACCCCATATGCCAGGCTTCAAAGTGCCTCAAATACCTCACCAAAGATGAACAATATCTTGTCCTTGGTTTCCTGCGTGTTCTGCTTTTGCGCCTCCACTTATGCCCTGGTGCATTATATAAAACTGGAAAAGGGAGGTTTGTGAGTCATATAGTTTATGGAAACAATAACATTAGGTTAATTTTTAGCGAATGGTTGTAAAACGCCTCAGGGTGTGGAATTCAAGGTAGGCGCTTACGAACAGGATGAAAATGTCTGTGGGGCCTATACCTGCCAAAGTGAGAATGGAGATGCTTTGATTCATTAGTGAGTGATTCTTAAAAGATACATTCAATTTAAGTAATTATTTAAGTATTTAGCTGCCAGAGGCCAGTCACCTTTGCGGAGTGCAACGATACTGGAGTTTCGACGGGCACAGACTTTCCACAGTGTTGCTGGACGTGCGTCCGATACGTGGAGTGTGGTGACTCCTCCGGTAGTAGCTCGAGTAGTAGCTCAAGTAGTAGTTCTTCAAGCTCAGACAGTAGTGCATCCGCGTCAGCCAGTGGTGCAGCAAGCAGTGCAGGCGGTGGCCCTTCAGCTGAAGGGCCAGCCGCACGCACTAAAGGTGGACGCACAAAAGGATCTAAGATGAAGGGACCAGAAGACGACAGTGATGACATCAAGCTCGATGGAGAGTCGGAATTTGCCAAACTAGTTGATTCGAAGGAGAACATAAAGTTCGGTGGCGGTACTCCGCTAACTAAATTCGGGGAATCCTCCAGAACCGTCCCATCGAAAGGGTTTCGTTTCTTCAAATAAAAAACCATCTTTAAGATTTCCGCAATTTTAAATATAATATTTAAATAATTAAGAATCAAAATCGCTGTCATTTAGTGTATTAATAAATAAATTTAAAGATATAAGGCACCTCATTTATCTTTTTTGGCAAAACTGACCCACATATCCATGTATACATCTGATCGTAAGTGATATGTATCTTTCCCGGAGAATTCTGGTTTTCATTCGACTGTTTCCTTTCACGAGGGCCTTTTTTTTGTTTTTAATTATTAGCCGCTGGCATACAAATCTGCTGGCAAAAATAAAACAGGAAAAGGGTTTCAGCTGGGTCCTTCAACCCGGGAGGAAAAAAATCCAAAAATTCAAAACGCAGCAAACAGAATACAAGAAAAATTGAAAACCAGATCTGAAAAGAGTATGGGAATAAGAAATGGCATGGGATTGGGTTCGGGAGCTTGAGCAGGTAGGCTCGTTCCCTTCCCCAAATCACTCCCTGCCCCTTTTTTCCTCAACTGAAGCTGATTCGGTATGATGTACATTAAACGGGAAAGACAAGAATACCAAAATTAACCAAGGAGATCCCGAAAGCTTTTCGACCGGACAATTTGCGAGTTGTGGCCGATGTTGACACCGAAAAACCCCTACAGTGCCCTTAATTATCCCCTACAGAAACGTATTCTCTAGCTACGGGCGAGGTCTTGGTTCAGGGGTAACAAATTATAAACACCAAACCACCCTGAAAAAGACTTACCTTGGCCTCTAACAAGAATACAAATTGTTCAAGGTATTCTTTTCAAGAATCGAATAAAAATTGTCGAAGATATGGATATCGCAGTTAGTCCTATATTGAAATCCAGGAGTTTAAAAGGGGGTCCATCAGAAAAATATGAAAAATATCGATCAAAAATTTTGTTCACAGGTTTGGTTGCAGATTTATAGAAAATCGATCCACAAATCTTTTAAGGTATTCCTTTCCAGAATCGAGCCAAAATTTTCGAAGATGTGGACATCGTAGGGGGCTCTATATTGAAATCCAAGATTTTACAAGGGGTTCCATCAGAAAAATATGAAATATATCTATCAAAATTTTTGTTTGCAGGTTTTGATGCAGATTGATAGGGAATCGATCCACAAATCTTTTAAGGTATTCTTTTCAAGAATCGGGCTAAAATTGTCGAAGATATGGACATCGCAGGGAGCTCTACATTGAAATCGAGGATTTTAATAGGGGGTTCCATCAGAAAAATATGAAAAATATCGATCAAAAATGTTGTTCACAGGTTTGGTTGTCGATTTATAGAAAATCGATCCATAAATCTTTTAAGGTATTCCTTTCCACAATCGGATTTAAACTGTCGAAGATATGGACAAGTCTGATAAGTTATTGTAATAATTTTCTAGGGTATACACACTTCGGCCTCGACCAAAGATAGCCTTCCCTGGATCGTTTTCCACCTTTTATATTTAAATTAAGGATATGTATGTATCTGTATCTGTACATATTTATTTTTTGAATAAGCGAAAGAGAATAAAAGAACAATACCAGTCTTACAAAAGAAAATAATGCTTCCTTAATCTCCTTACGTAATATCCAGGAGCAACGTAATCACCGCAACGTAAGGAAAGCAACGACGTGGTTTGAAGACCGACCATGCGGTCGCAACATGTGTGGTGGAGCATGTTTGGTGAGAGCGAGATGGCGTGCGGATGGGGCGCAACAGGCCGCGGTGAAAGCGAGACGGCGCCAGAAACAGACACACCGACTGGGCGGCAGGCTAATAGAAATGCGACAACAAATAAAGCCCCAAAAGGCAGAGCGAGAGAGAGGGAGCGGACGAACAGCTGTCCGAGGCGCAACATGTCTGACTGCGCTCTGCCAGCGTCGACGTCGACGTCGCCTCGTTCTTTCGGATTTCGCCTTCGAGTTTTTTCAATTTATATTTTATTTTTTATTTTTATTTACAGTTGATCGTGCTTGGACGTTTTCCTCCAGGAAAGCTAAAAATAAAGAAAAAACCCACACTTGTAAGCCACACAACAGCCCTGGGAAATCGATGGTTCAGGCCGCTAGCAGCCGGGAAAGTGCGGCACGAAACTCGGTCAAGTGTTAAGAGAAATTCCAAATAAGTTGTCCAGCAACCTAATGAATTCTAATTTGTGATCTGTGTGTGTCTTCGAGTGTTTAAGAATTTAACACCTATCGACTTTTGAACGCGTGTTTCACACATTTCCAGCTATGCGGATCATTCACCCATCACAGTTCCCCACAAAAAAAATTAAAAAATTCAAAAAAAAACCCGCGAATTGAAGAACTTTTACACGTGTCCCCGCAGCTGACTCAGAACTTCTGGTAGACCAAAAAAATATATAAAAAAAATTAAAAGCAATTAAGCAAATTTTCCACAAATGATTAACATCAACATTATAGTCCCCAAGCCAGCCAATGCGACGACAAAAATTCCAAACAAAATGTGTTAATGAAGGCAGCTGCCAAAAAAAGCATCGGGAATTTTGTAATCGTGGACGGAAGTCGAACGTTCATGTCATGATTTTATAATCAGCAAACATCCCGGAAAATGAGTAAGCCAAGTTAGCAGGTGTTAGCCCAAGCTAACCGTTAAGAACGGAAAGCCAAAATCCAAGAAAAATAGTCGGAAAATGTTAGCTTTTTCCTCCGAAATGTTCAAGCCCCATTTTTTATTTCAAAAATTCAATTTCAAAGAAAAAAAGAGGCGGGAAACCGAGGCGGTTGAGAAGAAGAAGAAGAAGATGAGGGAGAAAAGGGAAAACGGTTGGGGCAGCTAATTGATAGTGGGGGCAGAGCAGCAGCAGCAGCTGCGCAGCGGCCAAAGAAGGAAGCCGAGAAACCGTTACAAGCCACAAAGGAATGTGTCACAGTTTAAATCACAATCGCACGTAAACGTCAAGTACCGTCGCAAGGCGGCGATGCAACATGTTTGAAGCGTCGCTGCTGGGGCAGCTCTCCCCAATGATCGCGGGCAGCGCTGCCGGCGTCGCCGAGGCAGACCCCGTCGCTGGCAGCGCAGCCGTCAGCTTTCAATTCTTTTCAATTCGGCTTTCAATTCTTTTTTGGAGCTCGATCGCGACGGTTCGCGGCGTCTCGTGGAAAGTTAACTCTGAACAAAGAGCGGGAGAGCAGGAGCTGGACCCCAAGCCCTGAACGCGAACGCCGGCCGACCCCTACCTCGAGCGAGGTGAGGCACATCCTTGAGCCACTAGTAACCAGCTACCAGTCCTGCAAGCCATCTAAAGGGAAAAGAAATTAATTAAATTATATTTAGGCAGAGCATCGTGGCGCGCTCTCTCTGTCGCGCTCGCTATGTGTGTGTGTGTGTGTTCGGGCGTTATTGTGCATGTTTCCGGTGGCCGAAAGAAAAAAAAAATAAATAAATCAAAAAATTATTATATTAATAAACAGCCAAACGATAAAAAAGAAGAGTGCCACACAGTGGAATGTGTCGCACGAGTGTGTGCGTGTGTGGTTGTTGTAGGTGCATCTCGCGTAACAATAATAATAATTGCATTTATCGGGTGTCCGACAACTGGCGCCAGCTTCAATTCAATTATAAATAACATCATCAAAAAAAAAATTAAAAAAAAAAAAAGGAAAAACTTGTTAAAGTAGGCGTTCGCGGGCAGCCTCCCTTTGCCCCCGCCCTATAGCCCTCTCTTTCGCTCCCTTGGGGCATCACGCGCGCCGGTCCAAAGTTAAAGTTTGTTGGGTAACGCACACGTCACACACTCGCACACCACATCCAAACACACACACATCCGAGTCACACACACACACACACTCATACACTGCAGCTAACTAATGGAGCCCGGGTTTGTTTTCGTCAACCCACTTGAGTCCGGAACAAAAAAAAAAAATCAATACTCGTTATGGGATTAAAATTTACAAGCTTGCGCCACTGAACTACAAAAAAAAATCACAAAAAAAAAATCAAAATAAAATAAAAGAAATAAAAAAGGCTTTAAAACTTGGAAGAAATTCCTTATCAGAGGGGGCCAATGTTCCAAGGTTTTCTCGAAAAAACTTTGATACTTTGAGCTCCCCTTAAAAAAAATACGATTTAATCGCTTTAAAAAAATTAAAATAAAATACACTTGGAGTTACTGAAAATCTTGCTTATTAGCAAGGACATCTGTTCACATCTTACCGGGCAGCATTAGATCCTTTATGATAACTCTAATACTGTCAGGTAAAGATGTCGTCCGTGTCCTTAACCATCTGAAGGAATCAAAAGCTCAACGAGAAAACAAGTTTTTCAGGAAAAAGGAAGACGCGGCAGAAAATTGGTCATAAATTCTTTTATTTTTGTTTTTGCAGCCTAAACCAGCAGCCGCAACGCCGCGTTTTTTGGATGACATCAGTTAGGAACAAAAAATACAAAAAAAATTAAGAAAAAGAGAAGAAATCGTTCCCAATTCCCATTTTCGATTCCCGGACCCCGGCGGAGTCGGCAGGTAAACATTTATAGAGAAAGGGAGCGAGATGGAAGAACCTATAAAAATATATATTTTATGAGATACCGCTCGGTTCTTGTGTCTTGGATCTTGGAGTGGAGAGGCTGCTTCTGCCGTCTGGTTTCTTAATTTCATCGCTCGGTCACCGTTTAGTGACAAAAAGTGTCTTTTTTTTATGATGATACTTACCCGACGAACCCGCCTGCCTTCAGCCATCATCATAGATGTTGTTCCTATCCACAAATTTACGATTATGGCCAACTAGCTGAACCAGCAGGTTGGCTAAGTCTCGTTTTGTTGCGTTCCATTTGATTTCTTTTTTTTTTTTTTTTGATCTCGCATTCGTGGCTCTTAAATGTTCATAATTCGAAACAAGAGAAATGTGAAATACGAAACCCTGTCATAATGCTGGCCACAATCAAATAATTAAAAGGTTTATAAATTGCCCAAACGTGATCCGAGTTAGAGTTAATTGAGCACAAGCTTTGAGGATTTAGGAAGCGATAGGTATAGTCATATCATCAGTATCTTAATCATTTTTTTTTTCTAATCCTAGAACTTATCAATTCAATCTTGAAACAGGTCAAACCCATTGATAAGACCCTCTTGGCCAGACAAGATAAAA